CCCAGGCCCCTCACCCCGCGGTCATACAGCTTCATGTGTAGGTCCCAGTCGCTGACACCCCGCCGGGCGTCATAGCGGGAGCCCAGATAGTGGCGCACCCGCGCGTCCCAGAGGCGGCTCATGGGGAAGGCCTCGGGCCCCGTCTCCGCGCCGGCCCAGAAGCGGAACACAGCCTCCAGGGCGTCGCGCTCGCGGAACTGCATGGGGACAGGGAGAGCGAGACAGGAACGAGGAGAACCGCTTCTGTCCACTCCCCACCCATTCCGGGGGCTGGGAAGGACGCCCAGGTCTCACATCAAGACACTGCGGCTCAGAGGCAGGGGCCAGCCTCTGGGCCCAGATCCCAGCGGGAGTCGGGCTCCGGGACTCAAAGTCCCGGCCCCGGTCACTCAGTCAACACACATCCCTTGGAACTGATGCCTGGGGACCTGGGGCGCTGCACCGACCTTCAGGGCGCCCAGGTTGAGCCAGGGCAGCTGCTCCGCCAGGCGGTCAGGCTCCGGGACCAGGTGCGCCAGGCGCTCGGCCTGGGCGCGCACAAAGGCGGCCACCGGGGGGCGCAGCAGGGCGTTCCCCCACACCTCCAGGAAGGTCTCGCTCCTCTCTGGAGGGAGGGTGGAGAGATTAGCAGAGCGGAGGAGTGAACCCTGAAAGCAGACTGTTAGCCTTCAATGATATGCATACTGTGCTCCAAAGAGATAGACCAAACCCACTGCAGTGGAGTCCATTCTGACCCACAGCGCCCCTAGAGGACAGAGTGGAACTGCCCACAGGGTCTCCAAGGCTGTCAATCTTCACAGAAGCAAAGCCCAAACCACACCCACTAGAAGCAAACCCCAAAGCAAACCCACTGGAATCAAAGTCCAAACCACACCCATTGCCGTGGAGTACATTCCGACTCACAGCGCCCCTAGAGTGGAACTGCCCCACAGGGTCTCCAAGGCTGTCAATCTTCACAGAAGCAAAGCCCAAACCACACCCACTGCCGTGGAGTCCATTCCGACCCACAGCGCCCCTAGAGGACAGAGTGAAACTGCATTATGGGGTTGCCTTGGCTATAATCTTTAGGCCAGCAAAGGACCAGATCTTTTCTCTCACAGAGCTGCTGGTGGGTTCGAACTGCAGACCTTTTGGTTAGCAACAGAGCTCCACTGTGCCATCAGGATGCCTTTGAACAGCTTTGTTGTTGGTGGTGTTATGTGCTATCAAGTCAGACCTGACTCATAGCAACCCCTCCTTGGGTTTCTGAGGTGGTATCACTATGGAAGTAGATTGCCCAACCTTCCTTCCGAGGAGTGGCTGGTGGGTTTGAACCGCCAGCCTTCTGGTTAGCAGTCAAGTGCTCTATTACGCTCCATTGGGCAGAGGGTCACTAGGGAGGCGTAGGGGGTGCGGACCACACCAGGTGACACGGTCAGAGGGGTGACACCAAAATGACTGTCTAGGAAATTTCTGTGCAGTGTTTCAGCAGATTATTGATTATGAAAACATCTGTGTAGTTATAACAACAGAAACATTTTTTGTGAGCTGAGCTTACACTTACAATATATACCAAAAGGCTCAAACGCTATGCTCATTTGCCAGTGGGTTTGGTTTTTGGGTTTAATGTGCTCTGGTCAGAGCCATCACCATCACCCAATTGCAATGAGTTTCCAATCACGTGGTTTGGTCCCTGCCGCTTCAAGCACGCACTGTTGCTTCAGTTGCTGCCGTTCTTATAGCTGCTGATTTGTCAAATTGGCTGGTGTTTAGGCTACACTGTGGTGGTGAGTCCTACATGCGAACCTCTGTCAATTAATTCCTTGCAAAGGAAGTACTAATTAGAGGCAACGAAGGAGGAAAATAAAAATCGGCTTCTGCTCAGTTCCTCATAGTGCTGTAATTCCGTGTAGAAAGATTTCACTGAACAATTTTGTTGTTCGTATTCAGATAATCTAAGAAACATTACTTTAAAGCCATTTACAACTATATTAATCACATATTATTCTATGGTAAAAACTGACCATCCACATTACTAAGGATTCGACAGGATCTCGTATGGGAGGAGGTCCATGGGGGGTGGTGACACCAGGAGATGCCGTGCTGAGTGACAACCCTAGTGATGCCACCGTACAGATAGGAAAAGCTGGCCCTAAGGCCACCACACGGATGAGCAAGTGATGAAATTGGGGGCAATGAGCAGATGCTTACATCCCAGCCGCCCCAGGGCAACGCCAGAACCCTGCAGGCAGTGGGAAGGGATGGGGCCCCAAGTGCCTGGCTCCCTGACGCTAACCTTGAAGCCCTATCTTCTCGGGCTCCTCCAGGGCGAGGCTGAAGATCAGCATGTGCCGGGCTACAGCTTCCAGGTTATTCTCCAGCACATGGAACTGGAAGGATGCACAGGGCAGAGTGAGCCTGAGACCTGCACCCCGTGTCCCCAGCAGACCCAGGAGTTCCACACACCAGGCCCTCCACCTTCAAACGCCAGAGCATGGGTCCCTAGCCTCCTCTGCCTTGCCTGGAGGTGACCAGATCTTTACGATCCGCCTGCTGCTAACCTGTTAACAAGTACATTCTAACTCTCCGGACCTCATGTGTGCCGGAGGACAACTCCATAGAGTTTCCAGTGGCTGGATTTTTGGAAGCAGAGCACCACGTCTTTCTTCCAAAAGTGCTCCTGGGGAACGCTTGAACCTGCAACCTTTTGGTTCACAGAGAGTGCATTAACTATTGGCACCACCCAGAGACCAGGAAGCTCAAATCTCAGCCTTTCCTTCCTAGGGCTCAGGGAGTCAGGCCATCAACTACCACCTCCCTCAGACCCAGGAGTCCAGACTCCAGCTCCTTCCTTCCTGGACTCGGGATTTTAGACCTCCAACCGCCTCTTCCCTAGAAGAGTCAGGAATACTACTTCGGCTCCTTCCACGAATTCCCGCTCACATTGAACTTCCGGCGAGGCCAGCGCGCGGCCCGGGCCAGCGTCCGCAGCAGGTGCCGTCCATCCACGGAGCCCAGCAGTAGCACATCTAGCGTAGAAGTTCCGTGCTCCGTTCCCGCCTGCGAGTCTGGGTCCACAGGAGGACCTGGCGAGGCGACAGCCAGCTTGGGGTTGGTGGCCACCAGACTGCCCCCTGAAGCAGCCCCTAGAACAATGGACTACAAATCCCAGCAGGACTTGCACCGTCGGCCTAGGTTCCAAATGGTAGTCCGCCCAGAAGACACCTGGGCTGCCCAGTGTGGGAGCGCCCTCTGCCGTTGAAGCGTTAGAACGTTAGCGCGCATCCGGCCATTGACACTAGTACTACAAGTCCCAAAAGGCCTTGCGCCGTCTGCTGCCACTGTGAAGGCAGCGGCTGTACCAGAGCATGCTGGGATTTGTAGTCCCACGGGAGAGTTAAAGGATGGGGTGGACGACTCACTTTCAGCCTGCAGGTCCAGCGCCGGGGAGAAACCCCACCAGGACACAGAACCGAAGCCGGTGCCGGAGCCTGCCGGTGTAGTCATCGCCCTGGGGACAGATATCCTGGAAATCTCCAAACACTGTTTCGGCATCGCCAGCCCCCGCTATCGCCACCCCTGACTTCTGGTCCATTTGCTTCCATGTGCCAGCTCCCTCGCCTCTATCCTTCCAAGTACCTCGGGTCGCCCCTCTTTCCCTGCTCCGGGCTGGGCAGCGGTCCGGTTTTCCCTCCTCAACCGTCGTCGAGAGCCCACGCCCTTTTAAACCAATCAGCCAATGGGAATATGATGGCTGGTTCAGTCGCGATCAACTGACTAATGAAAGTGAGCGGGACCTGCCCACTAAGAACTTTTGGCCAATGGGAGAGCTGAGGGGCGGTGATTCTGGTGTTTGGGAAAGGAACGCGAGTGGACGCGGTTGTCTTGACGACGGCGTCTAAGTGGAGGGGCGGGGTTTGGAGCGTCGGGGGTGGAGTGTGGGTCTGTCCAAATTTCTGGAATGGGGGAGGCTTAGGCTGATCCAATTTTAGACAGAAGAGGACGTGGATTAATCCCGATCAAAGTGTAGACTTTAACTCTGTGTAGCTGTGTCCGTCCCCCCTTCCTCTCACACCCTGGGCTCTACCACACAGGGCGTCTCCCCACGTGGTGTGCTGGCGCCAGCTAGCAATGGCTCACGGTTGTCACACACAGCCATTACAGTATTAAAAATTAAATTATATAAATTTGTAATTAACATGTAAATTTACCATTCAGTACATTACACTAATGCAAAGGTGAGGAATACTCCAACCTCACCACTTCCTATTTCTCTACATTTTACTATTGTCTGTGCTGTTATTAACATTGGTTGTATCCGTATAGAGGAAATGTACCACCTGCCCCATGGTTTACTGTCCTGTGGTGTCCAGCGTGTTCTGTGATCTATATCACCTGTGTTTCAAATACCAGTCTCTAGGGGGCGCTGAGAGACTGAGACAGGAAGAAAGGCCTGGCAATGTTCTCGTCTTTCTCCCATGGACTGGCTGGTGGGATTGATAACCTGATGGGTCATAACAGAACCCTGCCTGCCTCGCCTTGGAGACGTCAGCAGGAGAGTGTCCCATCTGGTGATGGAGAGGGTCACCCTCCGTGAGGCGGACTGGCACAACAGCCAAAACGTGGATTCAAACTGGTGGTGATCTTCAGGCTAATGCAGAGCGGGGCAGTTCCATTTCGTCCCATTGTACTTCCGGTCTCCACAAGTGAGAGTCCATTTAACAGCATCTATCTAGCTGACCCACCAGCCACTCCTCGGAAGGAAGATGGGGCAATCTACTTCCGTAGTGATACTGCCTCAGAAACCCAAGGAGGGGATGCTATGAGTCAGGTCCAACTCGATGGCACATAACAACGATAACAACAACATCTATGTGGTGGTGTAGTGCCTAAGGCATCTGACTGCTAACCAGGAGGCTGGAGGTTCAAACCCAGCAGCCACTCCTCGGAAGGAAGGTTGGGCAATGTACTTTTGTAGTGATACCGCCTCAGAAACCCAAGGAGGGGTCACTATTAGTTGGAATTGACTCGACAGCAGTGACTGTGTTTTTTGGTTTATCTATCTATCTAAGCTCCAAGGAGCTCTGGTGGCGCAGTGGTTAAAGCATATGGCTGCTAACCAAAATGTCGCTGGTTCAAACCCACCAGCCAGTCCACGGGAGAAAGATGAGGCAGTTTCCTTCATAAGAATCAACTGGACGGCAGTTTTTGTTTTGTTTTTGTTGTTTTAATTTATCTATCTCTGGAAGAAATGCTATTTGAATGCAGAAAATGAAATTGGCAGACTGCTCCCAGGGCCTGGCTTCCTTTTTTTGTCGATAAAGTTTTATTGAAACCAGGGCTGGGATTGGGAGCAGGGCTGGGATGAGGCGAGGGAGGTGGGGGTCAAGCAAGTGCTAGCTCAGATCCTGTTTTTATTTCAACTTCTGATAATTTGCTCATCACGGCTTTGCTGCACTAACTTTAACGCCTAACAACACCGGAGTGTCTGACACACCCTCTTCTCCGCTCCACATTCAGTGACTTCATGTTGGTGTCTGGAAACGAGCCATGGTGGGAGAATTCACACCAGGGCAGTGGGCCAACCCCACAGCAGGCTTCGGGGAACAACTGTCGGCAGCACATCACAGGAAGCTTGTTTAACAACGCCTCCAACTCTGTGTCCTTTGCACTGCCCCTTCCCGCTACCCTCCTCCTCTGCTGTCCCCCCAACAATCCTGCGGGTGTCCTTCTAGCCCCAAGAACTGTGCGCCAACACATCTCGGTCTGCTATAGGCCGCCCAGTTTGCTGAGGCCGTTCTAGGACGCTGCGGGGGTTTCTGGGACAGGCAGCCCCTTGCCTCCCCTTCTGTGTTCCCAGCCCTGGAAACGAGGATCCCTCCCGGACTCCCAGCCCCTGCCCACTCTCGCCAAGGAGCAGGGGGCCAGACCACCACGGCTGCTGGACCTTTATTGGGACCCAGACACAGCGCAGGGATCAGACTGGGGACAAGAGTGGCATGATCCACCGGAGGAGAAGGGACCTGCGGAGGGTTGGGGTCTCTGATTGTCAAGGCAGACGGGGGGGGGGCAGGGGACAGAGGGAGGCCACACTGCTCCCTCTCCCCCAGGAGTCCCTGGGGTTTCTGGGTGCGTTTGTGGCAGTGGAGTTGGCAAGTTATCATGACTGACATAATGGAGGGGCGAGGGGAGGCGTCAGCAATGGGTCAGAGGGCGGGGCCTGGCAGTGGTTAGTGGTGCAGGAGGCTGCCAGATGGGACTGGGCTTGGCTTGGGCCAGGGGCAGGAGTGTGGGGTCAGGAGCCAGAGACCAGGTTTGGCCAGGGGCTTGGGGGGGTGGTCAGGGAGCGGGAGGGGGTCTTACACGATCAGGGGGCCGGAGGGAGTGCCACTGAGCAATGGGCCGGCGCGGGTTGGCCAGCATGTCCGCCCAGTGCCGCAGACCGGCCCCGCCGGCCGCCGCTCCCACCGCCACCCTCCCGATGGCCTCGTTCTTGCCCAGCTTGTCGTAGTCCAACACGGTCAGCTCCACCTCTACCTTCTGGAGAGGACGGGGGGGGGGGAACGAAAAGGAGGAGAGTGGGTGGGGGAGGAGGCAGAGGTGTTGTTGCTAAGGACACTCCCTCCCTAGCAACCAGAGTTCTTCGGCTAAGACTTGGCCTGGAGCGCAGAACTAGGGCGAAGAGGAGCAAGGGATGCAGAGCCCTGGGGCTGAAGGGAGTCATTAGTCCTGGAGGCTAGACTTCTGAGGAGCTGTGAGCTCCTTACAGAGCGCCCCAGTGAGGCACCTGGCTGCCAACCGGACGACTAGAGACTGGTGTTTCAGACTCACCCAGCTGCTCCCTGGGAGAAAGACTTGGCAATCTAATTCTGTAAAGTTTACAGCCAAGAACACCTTAGGGGGCAGTTCCACTCTGTCCTCTAGGGGCGCTGTGGGTCAGAATGGACTCCAGGGCAGTGGGTGTGGTTTGGGCTTTGCTTCTGTAATGACTGACAGTCTTGGGGACCCTGTGGGCACTTGGATGCTGAAGTGGCATCCACTGGAGTAAGCTTATAAGGGGCTCCATTGCTGGGTGTGTGTGTGGCCAGGTGGAGGGCCAGTTTAAGCACCTCCTTAGTGAGTGGGTGGGACTTACTCGTCCTCAAAGGAGGTGGGTGAGATTTGAGAACCCAGCCCTGGGACCTGATTTCTTGGGTGTTGCTAAGGAGTTTCCTTCCCCATAGTAAGTTTGTTTAAGGGCTTGGGGCTCTTGGGGAAAGCTGTCGGGCGGGGGCGATGGTGGGCGGGCCTGAGCTCACCTGGACCTGGTCACAAGGCACCTCGAAGCTGAAGGCCTCGTTATAATAGGGGTTCAGGGTGTTCTTCTTGATGGTGGTTTTCTTTTTCCGCACCTTTTTGCCTCCCTGGAGCAGATGGACCTTGACGTAGGGATCTGGGGAGAAGGAGGAGTCCTCTCACAGCCCACCCCCCCGCCACCCTGGTCCCCGAAGATCAGAATGATGGCGAGAATGCACCCCCCCTCTTAGGTGTCTCTCTCTGCCTGACAAAAATCTAAACTCTCCATGGTAGTGTGGAACCCCCCAGGGGGTCCCCCCAATATGCGTCGGGGCCCAGGCACCTTTGGGACCTTAGCCAGTCAGCCTGCCCTCCGCCTCCCTGCTTCCGCGCACCTGACAACCCGCCGACGTCCATCTTCTTCAGGTTTTTGGCTTCCAGGACGATGACCGTGAGCTTCCCGGCCGTGGGCACATAGCGGAGGGAGAAACAAATGTCTCCCAGCTTCTCTTGCTGAAAGACAAACGGACGTCATCACCACAGTCCCCCCCCCACACACACACACACCTCTGTCCCCGCTCCCCACCCTTCTGCCCTCCCCTCGCCAGGCACTGACTGGAATGGGCCCGAGTCAAGCACCCGGTGGTACGACCAAGGGGGCGGGGCATGAGGCATTGGGGCGGGCCCTGGGAGCTCGTGATTGGTGCAGAGTTGGGCGGAGGCGTGGCTGGCTGTGCTCACCTCTTCTCGCGGCGCCGCCTGCAGCTCGCGCCAGGCCAGCACCGGCCGACCCAAGTCCACGGAGCTCATGGGCACACGCACTTCCCCGATGGCGTCGTTGCGGGAGAAGCGGTCAAAGTCGTATACCGCCATGACCAGCACTCTGCCCCCAAGCTCCACATAGGGGACCTGGGAGAGGGGGTACAGCGAGCAGACGAGGGGAGATGGAGAGAGAGAGAGACAGAGACAGAGAGAAAAGAGGGCAGAGCTCGTCAAGGTGGAGGCCCCGCGTGGGGCAGCAAGGGTCAGGCGGTGGCCAAGGGGACCCAAGCGGGACCTTCTAGGGCTCCACAACAAATCCTGGAACCCAGATGGGACAGTCCAGGGTCCAGGGAACAGTCCAGGGGTTAATGGAACCTGGATGAGATGGTTCAGGGTCCAAGGAACAGTCTACAGGTCATTGGAACCCAAATGGGACAGTCCAGATGTTAACTGAGTGCAAATGGGCAGCC